TCTGGGTCCTCATTTCACCCACCTCGGAAGGATGGAAGGCTGAGTCAACCTTGAGCCGGTGAGATTAAAACAGCTGAACTGCAGATAACAGTCAGCTGAACTGGCCTGCAGTACTGCACCCTAACCACTGCGCCACCTCGGCTCTTAAAAGCCTCTCCACTCCTCACCAATGGTCCCTCAGCCACAGTTCCAAAGATGATCAAAAAGAATATTCGTAGTTCAGGATAGCACTTTGGGATCCTCAATGCTCTCTAACCTCGATTGCTTTGCTGCAGATGTTTCATGACCAAACTAGGTAACTTCATCAGTGCTAGTGATGTCTAGCACTGATGATGTTACCTAGTTGGGTAAAGGAAACATCTGCAACAAAGCAACCAAACTCAGAGAGCACAAAGAACCCCCACAATTCAAAAGTACAAGCAAGCCCTTACCTTTCGTCCAGGCAATGAGGAGCAGAAAGAGGAACAAAGGCTTGTCCCACTCCACTAGGCCAAGTCGCTGCATTTTGTCGAAGTTGCCGACTCTCTCAAGATTGCCAGATTGCGTTGCTAACAACACTGGGCTGGGCTGGGCAGGGTTGGGGCCAGCAAATCTCACCTGTGAAATCTGTAATCCTTTGCTATGAAAGTCATTTGCTACAAGATGGGCAGCAAACGAAATAAAGAAATAAAACCTTGCCCAAGAAATGTTGAGAGAGATCCAGAAGTTCCAAGTCATCTCATTGTTTCAGGGCTCATCTAAGCGTTGACTGCTCTTTTGCCTCGATTCCTTTGTCCAAAAGCACATATAATGCACTCCCCAAGATGATATTATGGGCTATTTCAATCTAAGCTTCAGCTTCAAAAGTCTTTTCCAAGGGAATTTTCAAAAATAGGGAAAGATTAAGTAATTGTTTATATTTACTGAGAGAGGAAAGATCATCCATGAAAACTGCTTTCTTTTGATTGATCAATCGATCTATTTATTGCTTTGACCAATTCATGACAAATAATACAAAGCCCACAGAGGGATTGTAACATAGAAATTAGGCTCCTGATTTTGGAAAACATTGGGGCAAAATCTCTAGTACAGGGTGGAGAAATTAAATACATAAATAAAGTTCCACGACAGCCATGAAGCAAATCATATTTGCGCATTTTTCTTTTTTTCAAGGAGGCTGCAACTTAGCAAATCGGATTGGGAGAAGGAAGTTTGTCCCCTTTCCCCTTTCTGATCGACCCCCTCTCCTCTGTACCATACACCGTGCCTACAAGGAGAAGGAGACTTTTCTGGGGGCAGAGACCTGGTCATGCAGGCAGAGATTGCCAACGTCTTCGCGGGGGAGGGTTGAGCAATGTCAACAAGGAAGCCTGGATCAAATCTTCACTCAACAGTGTACTTCCTCGGGGGCTTCCTTCCTCTACTCCACCTTATATAAGCGCTGTGGGGGAAAGGGATAGACAAATAAACAATAGTGCATTAATATCCAGAAGCTGAATCATAAAATCCCACAATCGTTTCTCCTGGAGGGGGGAAGGGAAGGAATTGTTATATCCAATGATGATGATGATGATGACGACGACGACGGAGAAGGAGTAAGTAATTATCCGAAGTGGCAGGCTCCGCCGGGTTTTTTGTCCCGTTCAGAGTGTCCAGAAGAGCGCGCTATTGCGCCGTGATCGCGCCGCTTTGGCTGAAGGGCGCCAGGCAGCTTCTTCTGCTGCTCCCGAGCTCGCTTTCCCGGGCTCTCCTCTTGCGTAAAGGTCCGTTGAAGCTTCGCGCGGGAGGCATCGCGGCAGCCTCTGAATCTTCGGGTCGGGCTCGCAGTCCATGGGCGCGTCCATGGAGCATTCTTTTCAACTTTCCAGTCTAGCCTACTGATATTTCCTGAGATTTCCTCGTGGTCCCCCATCCAAGTAGACCCGACCGATAGAAGGCGGCAAGGAATTTATTTTTCTGTATCCCTCGGCTTCCAGGATTTTGCCAGATGCCTCTGGTAGCTCTGTCCAAGCCCTGATCTGTTCTGACCCGCCTTAATTTTTCTACATCAATTAGGGTCCACTCAGCGTCCAATGCTACTAATAACCCGCAGTGGGGTTTCTTTTGGCTGCAAGATGGCGTGTTCTGTCTATGAACCTGGAAAGGCCATGGTTGTATCCACCCC